GCTATCATACTACTTGCATAAGGAGCATATGAGAGACAACTCCCTTATCACATTATTACCTGCTGATATGGTCAAAGTTCAAAACAAAATTCTAACCAACAATCTTAACTTTCTTAATATGCACATAAACAAATGAATATAACTTAAAACACTAAATTACCCATATATAATGAGGAGTATGCCTCTAGAGGCCATAAAGGTTTACAGTACTTAAAGTCATAACAAACATAGAACCAAACTATAAGGAGCATGCCTCTATGGGAGGGCTTAAAGGTTTATAGTTACTTAAAGTTTTACTGTACATAATTTTCAAACATTAAAAAGTCCAACGTTATTTTGCTTCAAGGAGATGGCTGCTCATTCGAGGGAAGCATTGTATTCCTAAATGCTACAACCTCTAGATCATGAGGATTAAAGAACACTCTTGTTGCATCATAGAAGGAGGATATTATAGGTCCAGCTACACATAACCAAAAAAAAGAAAAACATAAATGAGTATATATCATCACAAGCTTAAAAAAATGTTATTGCTAAGGAAAAATACATCATACATGCACTTGTGGTTTGGTGCATAGTGCCTATGGCATCCTGAATAACTACGAAAATCTTGTCTTTATTCCTCAAGCTTTCATATGCTTGAACTGTTGCTTCAACACACTCATATGGAGGGTATATGACATTGTTCTCACACCCCTATTTACATGATAAAACAACTTTTAGATAATACACGGTGCTATGAAATTGTGGATATGGGATAATATTTACCATCTTGCCGAGGTATCATTTGCCTTTAGAGTCAGTATTAGTTCCTTGCAATAAAACCCCTATCCTTAACCCAAGTTGGTCCATAAAATGACCTCAGAATCCCACATAGATATGCATTTGTAGAGAAAAATGAAACATGTAATAAAACAATAACATGGAATGCATATAATATAATATTCCTTCAACATGACTTACCAACAATCCCCCATTCCTCAAGAATAGCTTATGCAATCTCAGAAACAGGCTTTAGCAAAAAGCAATGCCCAGGTATCAGTTCTTCTGTCCCATAAACAGTAGTCTATGGAAGCAAAAAAATGTGGTAATCCTCATGAAAGCCTAGCCCACCACGTCCAACATAGAAAGAGGAAATCTTATAATAATGACCCTCATGAAACTTTCGTGCAAAAATGTTAATCACTTCATCCTCCCTTATCCTAGCAACCATATGCTTCCCTTGCTAGAACCGACCCAGCCCGCCAACCTACCAAAAAAGGCAGGCTTGGGTTACCCTTTTGCCAACTTGTCAAGGTGAGGGCTACTCTAGCTCACACGGTTTTTGGCCTGCTCCACCATGAACTAGCCTACGGGTTGGAGGGCTAGCCTGCTTTTTTTTTTCTCATGAAATTCCCAATATATTATATAATATTGTTGGAGGATTTTGACCCTTAAATCTCACATGAACAGTGCCTCATTCATATCATTGCATATATAATTAAGCACTTTATATGTGTGTGTAGTTATATGAAGAACATTGTCTATCTTTTATTTTTCATCTATTTGTCGTTACTATACACACTTTTATAAGATTAAATAAACATGTGATACTTGCACACACACACACACATAAAAGATCTATTTAATTAATTTGGATAAGAGAATCAATTAAATTAATTATTTATAAAAAATTTGTTAGTTTTTCTAACATATCTTGTTAAATTATAAATTAATCCTCACGTTATTTTATTACAACCCACTACTTAAGTTCAAGACTTCAATGTCTAATTTCTTTGTTGAAAATACGATCAACCGTGACCAGAATAACACTTTCAGATCTCCCAGGCCAAAGGCTACGGAGAGGAATAGAATCAACATTAGGAGACATGGAAGCTATCAACCTGTACATAGGATTCGAATGGAACAATGGTGGTGCGAGCAAACAAATGGAACATGATAAGTATTTATAGATGACAGATACACACATACCTTGCATTCAATGCATCAACAACTAACATTTGGCATTAAAGAATCCTAGTACATTTTACTCACCAAACCATTTGGTACCTATAAATGCAACATATCAATGGGAGTTATGGCAGCTCAATATGGGTTGATGAATGGATTAGTGGAAGGGGGATATTTATGACTTGTTTTGGTGAGCAACGACATGTATAGTCCTCTTTATTGTTTTACCACAAGTGATGACCATTCACTGGAAATTAATCGAGGGAAACAAAATTTTAAAATTTTGAGCACCACCTACTTACTTAAACAACATAGTCAACCTTTAGAAATGGATGGAAATCAGGTGATTCGAATTTGGACATTCAAAACTTCATCCTCTAACATTCCCCTGAGTCGATCAGCAAGCCATATGTGGATACCTGAGCCATTCAGGAAGCCAAAAGTGGCTGCATTTAATGCAATTCAGCTAATGCAAAGCCTCGCAATTATATTATTATAATCAAGGTGGCTTATGAACAGTAACTTTGTTTCTGTAGCTAATGATAAACCGGATTACTACAATTAAATTACATTAGTAATTAAATTAGTTAATAGTTATTTTATTAGTATAAAAATGGTAAACCAATAAAGAAAATGAGAAATTAAATTTAGAATCAAAGTCTCTAACAAAATACAAAGTTATATGTAAATTAAGTGAAAATGATAAAACTTTTTCTTATTAAAATAAAAATAAAAATAATAAAAAAACAAAAAAGGGAGGGCTGGCTATGGGTTGGTGGGCACGATTTGAAAAAGGACTGCATCAAAATGATCTTTATTTTCTTCAACCCAACTTGTCACCTTATGAGGGGTTGGCATGGCTCAACCTATATTACCGGCTCTGTCTATGGTTATGAAGCATGGGCAATTGTGACAGGTATGTTGCAGATCAACTGTGGAATTATTAAAAGTGTGTTGTTCTTGTTTTTGTGAATATATGTGATGATCTATTCTATATTTTGAATTTTGTGCTTTAAGCCCTCATGGTAGGGAAGGAGAAAATGTTGATGCGGTAAGTGAAGTATGGAAGAAAGCTTGGTTTAAGAGCTTGGGTATGAGGGTAGAGACAGGCGGTGAAGATATTTCAATGGAGAAGATGTTTCGAACATGGTGCTGTGTTTTCTAACAAAAATTTTTAATGTTGTTTGCTCTTAACTTAACAAGACGGACTAATATATCTAATAGTTGAAAGTTAAAGGGCCCATGGAAAGGAAAAAAAACATTAAGGGCCTGATTCAAAATGGAAGAAACTAGGGAAAATCACTAACAGGTCCCACAGAAGGCAATTTATTACTCTAAGGTCCCACGAAATGTCAAAATCACTGACAGGTCCCAAGGGACCTCAGAGTAATATTTTCATTTTGTAAAATGACATTACTGCCCCTCATATTCCATATTCACATTTGCTCTGTTATTACGATTTACAAACTCAGCAGCGACTATTAACAACCTATTGGGTTGATATCAACTATTTGGTTATAATTTACTCTTATGCGGAGGTTATATATTCTATAAAGTAAGTTGTTAACTGATACTGCTTAGGTTGTTAATATGCCTTCTCATTCGGTTGTTAATAGTCACTGTTGAGGTAGTAAATGGATCTTCGCATTAAAATATGACTATAATCCTATTGGATCTAGTTAAAATTCTTAATGATATCAAAAAGCTTCCCATTTTAGTGTTAAAGTTGTTGTATTATATTATTTGGTTATAATTTACTCTTATGCAGAGGTTATATAATTCTATAAAGTAAGTTGTTAACGGCTACTGCTTAGGTTGTTAATGCCCTCTCATTCGGCTGTTAATACTCGCTGTTGAGATTGTAAATGGATATTCGCATTAAAATATTACTATAATCCTATTGGATCTAATTAAAATTCTTAATGATATCAAAAATAGTTTAGTTAGTTATAGTTAGAAGTTATATTATCCGATATTAGTTGTTAACAGACACTGCTAGAGGTTATTAACAATTCTCCTTAGGTTATTAATACTTACTGTTGAGGTTGTAAATGGAGTTTCGCATTAAAATGTTGCTATAATCCTATTGGGTTTGGTTAAAATTCTTAATGATATCAAAAAGCTTCCCATTTTAGTGTTAAAGTTGTTGTATTATACTATTTGGTTATAATTTACTCTTACGCGGAGGTTATATAATTCTATAAAGTAAGTTGTTAACGGATACTGCTTAGGTTGTTAATGCCTTCTCATTCGGTTGTTAATAGTCGCTATTGAGGTTGTAAATGGATCTTCGCATTAAAATATTACTATAATCCTATTGGATTTAGTTAAAATTCTTAATGATATTAAAAAGCTTCCCATTTTAGTGTTAAAGTTGTTGTATTATACTATTTGGTTATAATTTACTCTTATGCAGAGGTTATATAATTCTATAAAGTAAGTTGTTAACGGCTACTGCTTAGGTTGTTAATGCCCTCTCATTCGGTTGTTAATACTCGCTGTTGAGATTGTAAATGGATATTCGCATTAAATATTACTATAATCCTATTGGGTCTAGTTAAAATTCTTAATGATATCAAAAAGCTTCCCATTTTAGTGTTAAAGTTGTTGTATTATATTATTTGGTTATAATTTACTCTTATGTAGAGTTATATAATTCTATAAAGTAAGTTGTTAACGGATACTGCTAGGGTTGTTAACGCCCTCTCATTAGGTTGTTAATAGTCGCTGCTGAGGTTGTAATTGTAATGACAGAGCAAATGTGAATCTGAATATGAGGGGCAGTAATGTCATTTTACAAAACGAAAATATTACTCTGAGGTCCCTTGGGATCTGTCAGTAATTTTGACATTTCGTGGAATCTCAGAGTAATAAATTGCCTTCTATGGGACCTGTTAGTGATTTCCCAAGAAACTATAAGGCCTTCAAATTACTTTTCCAAAAAACGTTTCAAAATCAGGGACGCACGATTTGTCCAGGGCGGTGGATGCAGGGTAAAAATTTCTCCAGATGCACCGTCACCTTTTGTTATTTAGTTATAATATGAAGCTTTGGGTCACAACATCGCGGGCGGTGGTTAGACGGCAGAAGCTGAATGATGATGGCGAAAGCGGAGCGGCGACTGGCAACCGGCGATTGACGCGTGATGGTCAACGGTGATCGAAGGGTCATCCCTGCTTCGACTTTGGTGGGTGACGAGACGGGGCGACAGTGGAAGACTGTTCTCGAAACTGTAATGATTCTGAATAATGTCTTTTAAATTGGTGGTAAATTAGTTGATGAAGCTGTAACTCAATTTATGTTGCCACTCGGTGGTATTGTGCTCCCGAATTATGTTGCTATTTTTTCTCCTAGGTGGTAATTTAGTTGCTTCTTGTGTAGTACCCAAGTCATTAAACTGACATTATTGGGACAATTACCTTCGTCAAACCCTAGCTCATGAATTTCATAGACGCAAACATGGGTTACACCATCCAGGTTTCGACCACTCAGCAACCATTGAAGTAATGTACCACTGGTAGAGAACAGCGTATGGGTGATTTCCCCCTTCATTCCTTCTAATCGAACTTTGAAACCAATCTATAAAAAAAAAAACCTCTGTTGTGGAATAGCAGCAAGAATTAAGAAGTTCCCAATTTTAAAATATATTTTTCAAAATAAAAAATAGTTTTTAAGTCTTTTTTTCTGCCTTCTTGAATCTTAATGCTTCAATTTGTCTTTTCTGTACCGTAATATTCATCATTTTGTTTTTTTTTTTTCCCCTCTAAGAAAACAGGACTTATCGTTCGTCAAATGACAAGCAGCTGAAGGAGTCCTTAAAGGATACGGCTAAATCCACTAAGCTTGTTCTAGACAGAAATCTAACCATGGTAAATTCAGCTGAGGTTGAACTTCGTTCGACATAAACCACATGCTCAGATTTTTTGATGAATTCATTAGTTTTGCTGTGCTGTGAGAATGCATTGGGTTTATTCTCTGCAAAATTTTTGATACAGTTTCTTTAACTTTCATCCAAACATTTCTATAATCAAGTTACAATTCTTTAAAGAAGCCATTTTGATATTTAATTCTGATATGTTGTTTCAGGAAGAAGCAGCTATTTATTAGCTGATTTGTATTATGCCTATACTACGGTACGCAACTATTTTTTCATGGGCGAACTTCGAAGCTTGGATTCAAAAGAACTATTATACCCATTGTTAGAAGCTTTTTTTTTTTTTTTTGTGGTCAAAGATTATTGGAAACTTGAGGCACCATGTAGCCCCTTGCTTCGTAAAGTCTCGTTGCAAGGAAATCACGAGAAAAGGTTTCTAAAGGTGCAAAATTTAGTGTTGGCATAACCATCTTCAATGTGACGAAAACTAGGGTTTTCTTCAGTCCAATGTTTGGTTGGCCAAAAATTGTCAATAGCTTCTGCTGTAATTGGTTTTGGATCTTGATTCTGTTTATGTCGTGGAGTGATGCCCTTCTATTAGCAAAGCAACATGATGAGGTCATTTTAATCTGAATTTAATGTGGATCATTAGCCTCATTTAAGGTCTTCAAAGTTCTCTGATTGCTTTGCTATTATACTGTGACTTTGTAGTTAAGTGGTTCAGTGAGTCCTGATGTGGAATAATTTGGAGATTATTTTTTTCCCCTGTTCTGGAGTGATGTTCTTCAATGACAAATGTCTGATTTTTATCTGTTCTGATGTATGTTTCTCATATCTTTATCTGTATGTGGTATTCTCATATGTCTTCAAAGTTTTCTGATTGCATTGTTATATCTTGTAGATTGGTAGTTGTGTGCTTGAATAAGCCCCGACACCTTCTCTTCTTCCAATTTTTTATGAGCCCGCTCCCGTTTTTTCCCCCCTTTTTGCCCCTTTTTCCACCTCGAGAGTTGTTTGGCGAGAGGGATTTCTTGGTTTATAAGCTTTGGGAGGGAGCTTCAAAGGCACAATTAAACCCCTATGTTTTCCCCTGGTTTCCTTTGATTGGATACCTGATATGTGATAGTAAAAGCAAGCTTACAAACTGTACTTGTCTTAATCGAAAAAAGAATGATCTTTTCTGAGTATTATTCTTTCCGTAATTTCTTTTCCCCAGCTAACTCTCCTCTATAGAAGCTGAAGATAAATGAGAATTAAAACTTGTCTTTGAAAGTAAGGAAAGAGAAGTGACGAGATTTAAAGTTCTCTGGTTTCTTTGATAGTGTTACTGCTGGCTTGACTAATAACAGTGGCTCATTTCACCGGGAAAAAAGTAACAATGGCTTTCCAATTTTCACACTGCCCTAGGATGTGGGGACAGGAAGGGGAATCATAGTTGTAGAAAGAGGAATTTTGCCTTTTCTTTTTTGGATTTTCTATTGAACATGGGTGTGAAGTAAGAGTAACTGGTAAGGTGTGTCTCTAACATACGGGAAATTGATGGAAATATTTAACATTTGGTGGTGAAGCAATAGCATAAATACATTGTCTGTGGCATGAAAGCTCCCAAACATGTGTTGGGGGAACTCTCCTAATCCTTCTTTTTTATCTAAGCTTGTTTCTCAACCCAGTTATTCAGTTGGTGAGAGCAAAAATAATTATTTGTTGGTTTCTGTTAGCTGTTTAATCAGGGGTAAGGCATACAGGCATGCTCCTAGTGGTTGAAATTGTTGTACGCATATCATGGGAAAACCATTAGGTAGCAAGATCTCATTTTTCTGTTAAAGTACTCTGATGTCATTCTGCATTGTTGTAGTTGAATGATTGTACAAGCATAGTACAATAGAGATGGTGAAATTATCATTCTTCCCTGTGCTCATTTGTCCTAGCACAATGAGCTTTAAAGACCAACTGGGGCAGAAAATGTGAAACTTGTTATCAGAACATCGCTGGCAGCTTTATCAGAAAACTTGTGAGGTTAATTTCATTTTAGGATTCATTGTTTAAGCAGTTTTGTGAATATATGTTCTGCAATGATATATTTTTCTTGAAAGTTGGGAAGTTGTCCATGCTTGAGCCGAAGTAAGTTATGAAACATGATATCCTTGCGACTTTGATTGCTTTGAGCTACTATTGAGGTTGTCTAGTCTTTTTCCGTGGACTATGCTTTTCTCACAGGCGACTCATTATGTTTAAGTTGAATCACACTTAATGAAGCATTTGCAAATGGTATGCAAGTAATCCTCTGAACCAGTCACGCTAAAGTGATTTTCAGAACACTCAGTTATGAGGAATCGTAATCCTTTGAAATTTGGTTTCTGTGAAGTTCTCTGAGGTCTCTCATATCAGATTATCTTCCTTTCTCTCTTTTTTGTCTACTTATTTATTCTTTAATTGGCAGCAAGCCCTCATTCTTTCTAGAATACTCAACTTCACCCGCTTCATGATAAAACTACTTCAGAAGATTCTCTCTTGACTATGAGAAGGATAACAGAATTCGCACCTCAGTCCGATTGATGTGTTTATAATATGTCTATATTAGATCACAGGTATTGATTCGGCTTTGTTGCTTTTGGCTGACTGGGAGAAAGTAGATGATGAGAAGAAAGAAGAATAAAAAGAATATGGTGTTGGAATGCATGATATATTGATGAAATGGTTAGCCGAAAGGGACAAGGTGAAGTTGTCTTCTTGATGGGTTTATTAGTTTTTAATTATTTTCAAATGTCTTCTTCCATATCAAATTGTTAAGAGTTTTGGATAAATATTTGTTATCTATTTTATTTTGGGTGTTTAAATTGGCCGGTTTGGTATTTTTAAAATATTTGTTTATTTTATACAAATAAATATACAAACATGTTAATGCTATATTCGAGTCTGAGACCTGGGTTATGCCAAAGAAGCAAACCTTTGATAATGCACGGATTGCATTAAACCAGACGTTGACACGTATGAATAATATGTTTTCGATGTTTGTAGTCATGCAAGGTAAAAAAAAAAAAAAAAATTTATAGTCATAAAAACCTGTTGCCTCGCCTCAACACTTCAATTAAAAGTCTTGTAGTTGAATTAATAAAAAATTTCAAAATGTAGGACTCAAATTTTTATAGTTGGTTTATATTTTATATTAATCTTTTTATAATGTCTTTAATTGTCATTCTCTCTATATAGAATTTGAAGCCTCACAGCTAATGTTTAGAAACTCGAGCCGGACCGGACGGTCCAACCGGTCAGATGTTGGCCGGACTCAGCCACGGCTTGTGTTTTCGGTGGGAGTCGTTTTCATATTAGACCGTTTTGAAGACCGTTTTGAATCGGAGAGAAAGAAAGGCTTTTCTGACCGGAACTCGCTTTTAAGCCAAAACTGGAATGGATCTGTAAAAACCGGACAGCTAAACTTGTAGAGGGAAATGGGTGAAGAAAAACCAGAAAAAAAAAAATCGAGGAGGAGATGGATGAAGGTTTGTGGCCGTGTCTTGCTCCAGCTCCTCCAGTCCTGCTCGTTCCAGCTCCTCCAGTCCTGCTCGTCTGTCAGTCGTCTGGTGTGTGTTTCTTTGTTTCAAAGTCCAAGTTGAATGAAATACAACGACCAGGAAGCTAACAGCAACGGGAATGTGAGAGATAAAGAAGAAAAGTTAGAGGTTGACTAAGAATGTGAGAAGCTTAAGAAAAAAAATTGATGTCAAAATGTGAATTGAAAGAGAGATTAATAACTTAGGTCAAGTTAATTATGTTAAGTATGTTCATGCGTCCAATCATATTCTGCCACTTGTATTATTTTGCCCCATCAGCATTTAACCCCCTAAATCTTGTGGCTTTGCTTGGTTCAACAGCGGTCATGGGTTTTGTTTGGTTGGAGGAGAAAGAAAGGGAGAAGAGATTTTTTGTTTGGTTTATAAGAAGAGGGCAGGAAAGGTAATTATAAATTGATAAATATGCTATTATCTCTATATTTAGACTATTTTATTTTTTATTACAATATTTATATCAAAATTATTATTTTCTAATTTATGAATTTCAAAAAAACCAATTACTTCACTTATAGGTGATAAAAAAATTATAATAAAACTAAAAAAACTAGGAAATATGATAAAAAATTTAACATTCTATCTCATTAATTTTATAATTATAATATACATGCATGTGTATTAATATATATGATATGTATTTATTATATAATTATAATACACACATACTATGATATGTATATATTAATATATATGATATGTATATATTATATAATTATAATACACCACCCTCTATTAATGTATACTTGTCATATTGAAAAAACTACTGTCATGATGGAAATATTATGTTATCATTACCAAATATCATTAGTTCATTACATAATTGGCAATATTAATGTCACCTAACATCAAAAATCATCAAATGGTTAGTAAACTAAATATTTCCTAAGTGATTCATAATAGGCAACATCAAGGTCACCTAACATTAAAAGTCACCAAATGGTTAGCAAACTATATATTTCCTAAGTCATTCATAATTAGTAACATCAACATCACTTAACATCAAAGGGAACTATAGCTTTTTGACGCAAATCCAATTATCGAGCGCAAGGCTAAATTGTTTTGAGATCCCTATTTCATCTAATAAACCATGTCAACATGCATCCAATTAATACTAGACTACTTGAGACATAACAAATAGATTACAAAAATTAATAGATTAAAAGAAATGTCTATCAAAGAAGTGGATTATAATCATGACCATATAATATATAAATTATATGTAACTTTAAGCAACAATCTTTTAAATATTTCATCCTTAATTATATATAATGTGTGCTTATAATCTAAGAAATAAAAATGCCACATATGCTAGCAACACTACAACTAAAATGAAATGATGTCAAACTGCACATAAAAGACATTTACTGCACCTTGACAAAATGCATAAACAAGTGTCTTTATTATATTTTGTCTTTACCTTGACTTAATATTCACCTTCGTGGCATTAATCTAAAATTCAATTAAGAGTATGCATTTATCGTCTGAAATTTTTCCATCTAGATTGTGAACAGAATTCAAAAGTTACAGAAGAAATCTTCTCTAGAACCCACGGCCATGGTGGAGGTTTATTTTGAATCATTGGATGAAGATATAAATCAGTTTCTTAGAGAGTTTTTTGATAAGTATTTACTCAAATCTTTCCAATAAAATATACTCAAATCTTTTTATTTTTTATGCAAGAGGTATAAAATTGGTAAGAGAAGAAAATATGGCAAATAAAGATGGAAGAAAAAGGAGCAAGGTTTGCAAACAAATATACATATACACACACACGTATTATGAGGAGAAAAAGGTAGCAAATCATCCATTGTAAAATATATTGGATCAAAAAGAGAACCAGAGCGGCAGTACTTGGATCCCACGAGTAGATCAAATCACCAAAGATGATATGATGCAAACTTGGGGAGGGACATAGGGAACACTTGGATCCAATAGATATATTAGCTATTATATATTTAGGGACGGACAAACATGAGTAGGAGGCAGAGATGAGAATAGAGTCAGTGAACTATGCTCCAAATATAAAAATGATGAGAGAAGAAAATATGACAAATAAAAATGGAAGAAAAGGGAGCAAGATTTGTGTGCATGCACACACACACATATGAGGAGAAAAG